CGTGCTGGCCGGGTCTTACAATTTCCCACTCCTCGCCTCTCTCTCTTCTTCTCCAAGAAGCATATCGAGAAGGTCCAAAACCCTCACCAAAACCCTACGAACATCCTCTCTCTCCTCTTCAGGCGATCGAGCCCAGGCCGAATCATCGAGCAAAGATGAGCACCGTGGACAAGATGCTGATCAAAGGCATACGGAGCTTCGATCCGGAGAACAAGCATGTCATCGCCTTCTTCAGGCCCCTCACCCTCATCGTTGGCCCCAATGGCGCCGGCAAAACCGTACACACACAAAATCTTCTTCTCTATTGATCTCGTGTCCTTTTTCAGAGTTCTTATCTCACATTTTTCTCTGTCTTTGATCGAAGACTATTATCGAATGCCTTAAGCTCGCGTGCACCGGGGAGCTGCCTCCCAACTCGCGCTCCGGCCACAGCTTCATCCATGACCCCAAGGTCTAGCCTCTCACGCTTAAAACGCTTATGTGATGTTTTGGAGTTGGTGGGCTGTGCTTGTTTATTATTCACGAAATGCCCTGTTTGATAGGTTTTGGGGGAGACGGAGACTAAGGGGCAGATCAAGCTCCGGTTCAAGACTGCTGCTGGCAAGGATGTGGTGTGCATACGCTCCTTCCAGCTTACACAGAAAGCTTCCAAGATGGAGTTCAAAGCTCTAGAGAGTGTACTCCAGACTATCAACCCTCTCACTGCAGAGGTTCTGCCGCGACTCTTTTTTTCCACTTTAGAACTTGTATAAGATCAAAGGAACTTTACTTTTTCTCATGAAGATTGTTGTTTTTTTGTGATTTATGGGGTAATTTTCAGAAGGTATGCCTCAGTTATAGATGCGCTGACATGGATAGGGAGATTCCGGCTCTGATGGGTGTCTCCAAAGCTGTCCTTGATAATGTCATATTTGTCCACCAGGATGACTCCAATTGGCCACTACAGGATCCATCAACACTGAAGAAGAAATTTGATGACATATTCTCCGCCACTCGGTATTTTATGTCCACTTCCACTTATTTTGTTCTTCAATTGAGTGTATGAATAGTTCTTGTAAAGAATTTACTGTCTGTTTTTATGGATAGAATAATCGGCTCCTTTTTTTTGGGAAGATTTACATACACACATATACAACTCAATTCCTATT